CTCAGGTTTATACTGGGCTTTCCATGGGCAGCTTATGTCTTTTCCAAGATCAGGAAAGCAACCTTTTTTAATCCCTATTTCCTTTGACAGGTTTCAGAGGGGTAGCCGTGTTAGTCTGTATCAGTAAAAACAATGAGGAGTCCTTGTGGCACCTTAGAGACTAACAAATTTATTTGGGTATAAGCTTTCGTGGGCTATAACCCACTTCATCAGATGCATAGAGTGGAAAATACAGTAAGCAGATATAAATATACAGCACATGAAAAGATAGGAGTTGCCTTACCAAGTGGGGGGTCAGTGCTAAGGGGGCCAATTCAATTCCCTGCAACAAACCCCGTTGCCAACTCTGTCCGCATATCTATTCAAGGGATACCATCATAGGACCTAATCACATCAGCCATACCATCAGGGACTCGTTCACTTGCACATCTACCAATGTGGTATATGCCATCATGTGCCAGCAATGCCCCTCTGCCTTGTACGTTGGCCAAACCGGACAGTCTCTACGCAAAAGAATAAATGGACACAAATCTGACATCAAGAATTATAACATTCAAAAACCAGTAGGAGAACACTTCAATCTCCCTGGACACTCAATAACAGACTTAAAAGTGGCAATTCTTCAACAACAAAAATTCAAAAACAGACTCCAATGAGAAACTGCAGAACTGGAATTAATTTGCAAACTGGACACCATCAAATTAGGCCTGAATAAAGACTGGGAGTGGATGGGTCACTACAAAAACTAATTTCCCTCTGCTGATACTCACACCTTCTTGTCAACTGTTTGAAATGGGCCACCTTGATTGCATTGGCCTCATTAGCACTACAAAAGTGATTTTCCCTCCCTTGGTATTCACCCCTTCTTGTCAACTGTTGAGAATAGTCCTCTTCCACCTTAATTGAATTGGCTCGTTAGCATTGACCCCCCCACACACACACTTGGTAAGGCAACTCCCATCTTTTCATGTGCTGTGTATTTATACCTGCCTACTGTATTTTCCACTCCATGCATCTGATGAAGTGGGTTTTAGCCCCCAAAAGCCTATGCCCAAATAAATTTGTTAGTTTCTAAGGTGCCACAAGGACTCCTCGTTGTTTTTGCTGATACAGACTAACACGGCTACCACTCTGACAGCTATTTTTAGCACCATAGCACAAGCCCTGCAAGCCTGAGTCTCTAGACCCAGGCTCTGGGACTTGCTACCAGGGGATTTATTTTTGCTATGTAGACATACCCTACATGTGTGACCCCATGAGATTCATATGAAAAGAAATATAAATTGGTTTACATAGGAAGGAACAGTGATGGGCACAAATACAGAACAAGAGAAAATGAATCTGTAGTCTGTTAACTCAAAGCCTGAATCCCAGCTAGGAAGGTATACCCCAGGGACAGATCAACTCAATATGAATTAACAATGTGAGACTGTTGAAAGAAAGGTAACTGCTCTCTTGGGATGTGTTAAAAGGAGTATTATGTTTCAAACATGCAAGGTAATTATTCTGCTCTGGTTGGCACTTGGTAGGCCTTAACTAGAACACTTCTTCCAGTTTAGAGCCCCATGTTTCATAAAAGACAGACAAACCGGAGGCAGTTCAGAAGAGAGCAACAGACAGGATAAAAAGTTTGGAAAAATAAGTCCTGTATGGAAAGATTAAGAGAATGGGGCAAGGCAACCCCACTGAAGAGAACAGAAGGCTGAGGTGAGACAAGATAAATGTTTACTCACAGGTAAGCAATACTATCTGGCACTTACATAGCACCTTACGTGCCAGGATTTCAAAACACTTGATAAATGTTAATTAAGTAAGCCTCACATCACCCCTGTGAGGCAAATTAATATTATTGTACCCAATTTATATATGGGTAAATCAAAGCAGGGAGTGTTCAAATGATATGTCCAAGGTTACACAGAGTCAGTGAAAGTGCTAGGAATAGAACCAAGGAGACCTGACACCCAGCTACCCTTTTCTACTCGCTAGACCTGCAGTTCTCAAACTTTAGCAACGAGGACCCCCATTTTGATTTAAAAATTTTTGCGGCCCCCCAAGCTCTCCCACTCCACCCCTTCCCCCAAGGCTCCACCCCCACCCCCACTCCACCCTGCCTCTTTCTGCCCCTTCCCCCAAGTGCACCACATCCCTGCTCCTCCCCCTCCTTCCCAGCGCCTCCTGCACCCTGGCATGCAGGAGGCGCTAGGAGGCAGGGGGAGGAGTTGATCAGTGGGGCCCGCAGACCCCCAGGAGTACCCTCGCGGATCCCCAGGGGTCCGCAGACCCCAGTTTGAAAAACACTGCACTAGACCATTCTTTTTCAAGGGATCAGTTATTCTCAGTCAGCAAGAAGTAATGGCCAAGGCTGTCAAAAGTGACTAGCCTCAATTTCTGGGTGCTCAATGTGAGACACTTTAAAGGGGTCTGATTTTCAGAGGCTGGGGTGTCACGAAAAATTGAGGCTACCATAAATCACCAGCCAGTTTTGAAAATCTTGGCCCAGAAGCTTAGGACACAGTTGGAATTACAATTTAAATACCACCGAAAGCTCTATGGACCAGATTCTGGGTCTTTCTTCAGCCCCTTTGTGTCACTCAGGCAGTACAAGGCTGTCAAGCTGGTGTAACTGACTTCTTGAGGATTCCCCCTGAAGAGGGGACATCCCAGAAAGGTGTAGAGCTGCTAACTGTTCTCCTGAAGCTGTTCTACGCTCTTCCAAAGTAGCCCTTAGTTGCCCCAGAATTGTGGGAATATAAAGAAGGCGAAATACCACCTTTTCTCCAACCCCGGACTCCTCGTCCATCATTGAGTGGATCTCTAGTGGGCCGGAAAACCTGGGCCTATAATTCTAAAAACAATTGTGCTAAGGAGCAAAACCTCCCTTGGCAATTTGTAATCATTATCATTATAGATAATCAGGGCTACACTAGACACTTGGAGCCAGATACTCTGCTGTTGTGAATCAGTAATTTCAATACACTAATTTACTCCAGCAGAGGATCTGACTGGTTTTAGTGAGGAGTAATTTTGTCACCATACACAGGGATGTACTAGATAAGTGACCATTAGAGATGTATTCCAAATGAATGATTTTAGCATTAAATCACGACTGCTTCCCTCATCCTTTAGATCATCCTCTTCCCATAAAGCATCACCTTGTAATTGCCGATATCTCATTATCAGCATCAGAAAGACAACACCAGATTACCATTTTCACACATCAGCTCCAATCACAATTAGTGCTAATACCACCACCCTATCATCTCAGCTCCTGCCATTACCCACAATACCATCCCTGGGCAGAATTCTGATCACACTTTCACTATAGAGCAAATCAGGAACAGCTCCCCTATAGCCAATGGTGCAGAGTGGAAAATCAGGCCAAATATGTCAACATCTCTAGCACATGGTACAGCTAACCTCACCACCATATTTACTATCAATAACACCATCTTGTTAGCATGAAGGGTGTCAGTGTCCTTAGTAGTACTCTAGGGCTGCCGGTGCACTTAGGAGAGAGGGTTACACTGGGACTTGGTACTCTTATTTTTTTTTATATCCTTCAGCAATCCTTAAGGAACAAAGCTGAGTCATGCTTTTGTGTGACGACTATTGAGGTCCCAATTGCTCACATAACATAATAAATCTTGCATGACTGTCTTGGGCATAGTAGGTGATTGGAACACCTTGGATGACTGTCACTGTTTTATTTTACATATGGTATTTTCTATATGAATCACTGTGTTGATCCTTGGGAAATTAAACACAAAAATAAACCGAGAAGTAAAAACAATCTAATACCTTAATCATAATGACATTTACCATTGCTCACTAATACCCTTCATTATCAGAATGATTGCTATCATCTTGTCATTTATATTATCATCTCTGCAGTGACATTTTATGTCACTACAACCAGCATCATCATATCACCAGTATCATTATATTTGCTAGCAACACTACTAGCTCACAGCTATTGAAATCACAATCACTACTAGCTTCTTCAGCGTATCCCTCAGTATCACAATCAGCACTGTGAGCTTCTATATGCTGTTTGATACTGTCATGGATTCAACAGCATGACAGGCCTGATTGGGAGCATGCTCTCACGGGTGTAACTCCACTGACTTCAGGAGAGTTACTCCTAATTAACACTGGTGTACATGAGATCTGAACTCAGTCCTATTAGTTTCCCAGACAATATGAGATGTGATAGGAGGAGAGAATAAGGATGAGATTTTCAACAACACTTAGTGTTGGCCTAACTCTGCTCCCATTTAAGTCACAGAGAGATTTTTACCCAAGTAACTGAATTTGGCCCAGTGAATACAGTCGGTTTAATTATGTTATTTTAAGCCTTTTTGTTAAAAGGCTGTCTCTGTCCCCCTTTTAGAGTGGTAGCCGTGTTAGTCTGTATCAGTCTGCCCCCCTCTGCCTCCTCCTGTCACTTAGCTAGCAGTCAATCAATCATTCATTTTCAGGCACTGATGAATTGGCACAGCACTGAAATATGAAGTAATAAGCTCTGAGTAAACTGAATGAATTGAACATTAGCACTGAGGGACATAATTATGGATGATTCAAGGCACTGATCTATGGGGTCACTTTTCCCGGGGGAAAGGTGACTATTTATAGCAACTGGCTCTATGCCACGTCAGCTACCCACTTTCCTTTGGCATGGCAATGCCCCCTTTATTACAAGCCTCATCGGGAGCAATAACGGGTTTGAGCATTTTAAATAAATTAATAAACAAACAGCTCCCTAAAGTCAGAGTGCCCAAGTTCATCATCATCACCATCACCATCCATGTCACAATCACAGCCAAGATGCTCATCAGCAACTTTTGGCCCTGTCAGAAAACGTTCATTTCACTGCACTAGGAGAATTCCCCCTGACATGATGCCAGCGGTAGAGTGCCATGAGACACGCGGAAGAAGGGGGAGGGGGGAAGCAGGGAGGAGTGAGCATGCTCTTTAACACCCTTGACACAAAATGCTCTTACCTCCCTCAGGATTTTGAAGGATTCCAGCACGGCTTTATTGACGGTCCCCACTCCTTTTGCCTGCAGCTCATCCACCAACTGCTTAAAGTGCTAGCATGAAGTGAGAAACACATGGCAGATATGAGATGCGGACAGAAGGAAGGCAGAATTCTCAGGACAGGGGAGAGAAGGGTGACACAGGGCCAAAGAAACCCTGTATTTCAGGGCACATGACTACTCTAGATGGCTGGGCAAGCTTCCACTATAGCGTCTACAGATGTGAAAGTCAATAGGCTACTCCAATAACAGTTCTATCATGGGGCACCCACGTTCACATATGTGCTGTACTATAAGCTGCTGCACAGCACGTTCATAAATAACTGCCAGAAATAGCAGCGCCTCTCTTTGGAGATTTGTCCTTTGCTGAGGGTGAAACACAGGGGAGTTTGGTAAGAAATGTGGAGAGAAACATTCTGATAATGTTAACCGTGGACTATGGGGACAATGTGAGTATGAGCCACCTCCACAAGATTGAGAGCGAGAGAAACAAGGGAGATATAATCAGAACTAAAAATACATCCCAGCCAGGAGGGAGGTGCATCTTACAGCAGTCAGATGCACAATGACCACCTTAGGGCTACAGCTGCTCATCACTCCCAGATTAGAAAAGCAGCTATCAGCAAAGCACACTGAAAAAGTGCCCTACGAAAGGGGGAACCTAGACTGCAGCGTTCATTGGTGACCAGACATTTACTGGGAAAGGGCTGAATTCCCACTTTTCTGAGGGCCAAGGATGTGGATGGAAGGTCTGAGCTTTTAGAAATGGCACACGGAGTGCTCTTGAGAGTTATGTGCTTTTGTTCCTTGTGATAGGACAGGAAAGATTGACTGGTATGCTCTGGCTAGTTTGTGCTGCTCCAGAGACACAAATCAGTTGTAAACTTGGTTTAACCAGCCAGCTGCACTGAGTTTACAGCTGCTTTGCATATCCAGCGAGATGCAGAGCAGACAGTGTGTCACCGTGAATCTGGCTCTAGGTCTCAGAAATAAAAATCCACATGTTTTTGGGACATCAGTTGCTTCCTGTCCTTGGAGTTTCCCACCAAAGCATCACAGTCCCACTAACTCAACTACAATAAGAGAGCTGTCCCAACAACACCTCTGAGTCTGGCACTCACCTCTCTGTTATCTCTGTCTGCTTGGACCAGGATGCCCTTGAAACAGGGTTCAACATAATGAACATAATCATTGTACTGAAAAGAGAGAAGTAAAAGAATAGGGTTAGCGATAAAAGGAATCTCTTGAAAGTAAGATTCGTAAGAGGACATTTATAGGGATAAAAACAGCATCTATTTTACAGTTACACTGTTTTATTTAGTTCTTTATTTAGAATTTTATTGTGCCAATTTTGTGCTCTAGACACATTACACTTTTAAAAATCCTGCCTTTTAAAACAATACATTAAATAAATTGTAGCATGTTGGCAGATTAAATCCAGGCACACCCATAGGTGCAGGGTTAATGCTATTTTATTAACAGAGTTCCAGCAGTCTTCTCCACACTCTAATATCTGTGCAAAAGACTAATTTATGGCAGCACTTAAATTCTCAGATTACAATACACAAGGGGACATATATTACATACATCTCTTTAAAAAACTAACATATAAAACCCTCCCAGCTTAGTATGATTTCCCTCTGTTCCTGAATCAACACTGCTCACTTCTCCATCTATCCATCCAGGTACTTATATGGCTCCCATCAATGGAATAGTTTAGCAACCTAAACAGATAACAATGAGCTCTCACTTCCTTCCCTACCAGCAGGGGACAAGCTTAGGGATTTTGGTGTTGTGTTCCCATAAATCTATAAAAATGAGGGTATAATTATGGGAAATCCTGGGCAAAGAGCTGGGGTTTGTATTTAGCTCTGAAAGGGAAGACGTTTGCAATCACTCTCTTTTTCTTTGGCATTGAGTTCCATAGTCTTGATCCTGTGCAAGTTCTGTCTTCTGTGGTCACGAGCCACCCCTGTACTGGTCAACTGTCTTATTGTTCCAATGGTGTCACGGGAAGTCATGGTCACATAGAGGGAGAAATTCCATGGAAAACTTTGAAAATCAGGAGCTTGACCTTTTCCTGGACTCTGTTCTATGGGACATCAGTGCAGAGACTGATGTATCATGGTAATCCCAGCCAGGACATAAACAAGTTAATATCACTACTCTTCAGAAAAGTGCTCTCTTTCTTGACCACAAGTAGTCAGGATTTTGCTTATACATCTCACACGAAAGATAGCAGCTTCAGCAGCACAATGCCTCCTAGCACCAGGCTGGAGTGTTACTGACTCAGAGGGATGACAGCCATAAATCAAAATAGCACCATCACTTCCTGAAGCACCAATTGTCCCCATCCCAGTACTGACTCCGTCCCTCTGGGTTTAGTCTGTGAAATAGGAAAGGGTCACTGACCAAGATGATATAGTTGCAGACTGAGTTCTTGTATCATTACTAAAGTTTTGTCTCAATAAGAAAAGGAATAAAATTAGGAAAAGGAACAAACAAGCTTTTAATGTCAATCACAGGGTGAATAAGGAATTAGCATTTACCCTGCTGGTCACTCACCAAAGTACTTGCAGCTGACTTGTCATAGCTGATTTGTTTTTGTTTCCCATTCCCATTGAACTCTAGAGCTAAGTGCTGTAGTGATATTACTGCTATCCCTGCATGGTTGGCTAGTGGAGCTGAAAGGCAGGCATGATTGACAGGGTGAGTTGTTTTATATTTAGACTGGGATACACTTACTGCAATAATATTGACGAAATCATTTTCCCCCAAAGTGTCCAAAATGGTGATGATGGTGTGTTTGGCAATGGTCATCAGCAGACCCTTCATGCTCCCACTGATGTCCACCACGATTATAATGTCCTTGGGCGAGGTGGCTGCCTGGATGTACCTTTATAGGATTGGGAGAGAAGAGAAGCTGGTACAACATAAGCACCGGGGAAGGCAGAATTCTGGGCATACCATTGGCCATATCAGGTCCTTGATTCTAGACCCACGATAACATGCATGCCTGGCAGTGGCAGACTTGGGAATGTACCCTTTATCCCATGCCGGATGTACCACTCATATAAATATGACGAGGCTGTCCTGCTGTTTAACAGTAGTGCTCTGCTGGACCTGGGTTCTTGTTTACAGGACTGGCAAAGGCTGGGAGTGCTGCAGAGGTGATATGCTCAGACATAGCTGACAGAGGGAACTTGATGTTATTTAACAGTGATCCCTGCTACTGAGATGACTGATTCAAAGAGTGGAATTGATGGACTCTGAACAGTCCCATCCCATTGTTCTGCAGTCTCATAAAGTGGAGGGGATAAAGAAGGGAGTCACTGACAGTGATTCCGTATGAGACGTTAGACCCCAAGATGGAGGGAGGGGTGTTGGAAGGGGATGGACAACACTCTCTAATCCAGTATGCTACAATGTGATTGCTTAAACACTAGTTTATCACTAGCTTATCTCTCTCTCCCAGGAGCAGTGTGCAACAGAGGCTCTGATTAGACTCCCCACTGCAGACAGTGGACTGTGACATCTGTGCACTCACCATTCAGGTCTCTGTAACCCACACTAGGAAGGGGGGGGGGGCGGACAAAAATCAGGACAAGGGTCAATCAAAGTTCCAAAAGAAGAGGAGAAAAAGGGGGCGAGAGAGAAAGAAAAAGATGGTGGGGCCTAATCTCTCACCAGCCTCGATTCCTGCAGTCGAAGGAGATGACTCCATTCTCATCTGGCATCCACTTTATCCCTGAACAGAGCAGCAAAAGGAGGACTCAGTGGCTTAATCACTCAGGAAAACAGGCCTCGGCTCCCCACCCCTGCAGGCACCAGACCTTCAATTATCCTTAGCTCTGTGACCTCACTATTTTAGTTCACACGGTCATGTGACTCCCACAACCAACAGCAGAGCTCCAGCAGTTATAGCAGCAGGCAGGTTGGATAAATACACACAAAGCTTTCCTAGCTTTAATTTCTGGCCTTCACACAGTCCCTTGAATGTGTTGATTAATTTTTATGCAAAATGTCACTGGGCTGTGCCTGGTGCTCTCAGGAACGTTGAAAAATTGGGGAGGGAATGCATTTACTTTCATCTTTATACCATTTGTATGCAGCTTTCTCCAATATCTGCAGTGCTGCTGAGTCTTGTGATTTTTTTGACGAGTGAGGTGATTTTGGCTGAGGTTGAAGCCAGTTTGAAGATGACGTGAGAAGCTCCAGTCTCTAGTGAATTTGAGGCCTCTGATTGGCTGCCTGCCCTATGTGCCTGCCTCCTGGGGCTGAGCAACCAACTAGAGTTGCTAAAGGAAGAGCTCTTCCCTCCTCCCCCTCTCATCAGCAGCCCAACCATTCTCATAAGAGGGGATGGGGAGCTAAACTCCCTCCCCTCAGCCTGGAAGCGGGAGAGAGGACACTGCTGCAGTCTCCACCCCGCAGGCCTGGGAGAGAGGGTGAAGAATCCCACAAGGAGCAGAGCAGGGCGGGACCAGGGCAGAATTAATTGCTGGGCAGATGTAGGGGTGTGAGCTCCAGCCCCTTACCCAATACATATGGGAGAGTGGGCAACACTGATTGTCACACACACACACACACACACTGGTGATGGGCAGGGGGAATTCAAAACAATCAAAACACAGACCAAAACCAAAATATAAACTTTTTGGGGAAAAAACAGATTTTTGGGGGGCCAATCTCATGATTTTTGGGGGGGTCTGACTGATATTTGATCTCTTGAGGTTGGCAATATTGTATCTTTTTTCTTACAGAATGGTTGAGAACCTTAAAAAGTAGAAGGAGAGATAGGTGTGTGGCCCAGATTGAGCACTAAAGGCTTTGTCACAGCTTTCTCAGGGCAGATGGCACTACAGCAGTCAGTCAGCCTGAAGCTCATATAGGCAAGCAGAATACCTTTGGTGTCACAAGTGCAACACACTGGTTGTGTTGTCCCCCCTGTATGGTAGCTAGTGGCTAGAGCAGGGGTAGGCAACCTATGGCACTTGTGCCAAAGGCGGCATGCGAGCTGATTTTCAGTGGCACTCACACTGCCCAGGTCCTGGCCACTGGTCCAGGGAGCTCTGCATTTTAATTTAATTTTAAATGAAGCTTCTTAAACATTTTTAAAACCTTATTTACTTTACATACAACAATAGTTTAGTTATATATTATAGACATATAGAAAGACACCTTCTAAAAAGGTTAAAATGTATTACTGTCACGCAGAACCTTAAATCTGAGTGAATAAATGAAGACTTGGCACACCACTTCTGACAGGTTGCCGACCCCTGGGCTAGAGAATGAGAGTCTTCTATTGCCACCAGTGTTACTCTTTTACAGGAATGTGCCTTTGGTGCACACCATCCCAGTTCAATCAGCTCAGGCAACCTGTGGTTGTTGGTTATTTCCAAGAGGTCTCCCTTTTGGGAAATCTAACCCCAGACCCATATGTAATCCATACTTACTATTCTACAATGGAAGGCAGTGATCCACCAATCCCTAGGCTTCCCAGAATAGGTTCTGTATCAATGTGTTCCCTTCCCTGGTGTGTTTCATGTTTTAGAGAAAGGGCTAGGAATGTCTGAGCTTCTTTACCTGGGTAAAGTCTGAAGAATCCTGTGGAGCTGCCAAAGTACTGCCAGGTCAGTGTTGGGTCTCTTTGGAAATTGTCCACAAAAATAGGATTCAAGGCTTCTGACATGTAAACTCCATTCAATATGCCAGGGTCTGTGGGGAAAGGCGGAGCCAGGAAACATAGGGAGAGGGGAAGGAAGGGTGCAACAGGGGGAAAAAAAGCACAGTATAGAGGAGAGTGGTGGGAACAAAGAGAAAGACCCAGACAGCGTGGAGCCTGTACATACAATGATTCTTCATGGTCTGAACACAATTACAACATGTATTCCTCACTACTGTCACTCCCTTCATGATGACAAATATCGTATTGAAACTGGCTTTAAAACAAACATTGCAAGAGGAATTGTCTTTACCGTTCAAGCAAATCCTGGAATGTAAGTCACCACTAGCAATCACAAGTTAACTCTGCTTGGTCACACATCATCTCCCTACCTCTTCTGGGGTTTATCTACCTTGGGTGATTTACATCAAGTTAGAACAGGATCCCAAGGGGTTATGGTAATTAACTCAAGGTTAAATACAATGTAGTGCTCAGTATAAACAGGGATTGTTGTGTTATATCATCATACCAGCCGGCTGTGGTAGCCCAACCAGCTGAAACAATGTTAAACATGACAGTCCCTGGTTACAGTGAGTGTTTAACATTGTGCGCTGGTTATCAGGACTCCTCCAGTTATGTTCTAACATGATGCAATTACCCAGTGTAGACAAGACCTTAGATTTAAAACCCTCCATCTTTCTCCTATTACTCTCTTTTTTGATATCCCTCCTCTGGTTTTCTTCATTCCTTTCCTCTGTCTCTGCTTCTCCCCCAAGGCCTGATCTCTGATCTCGGACCCCCGATCTCACTTACACCTGTGTAAATCTGAAGATTTACATAAGACATCTGAGGCTGACATGAGACAGCTTGTAGTGGTATCTACTCCAGCACCAGAGAGGGTAAAATGGAGCAGCAGCAACAGGACAAGAGAGGCTTTGATCAAAACCCTCTTTCTGCAATAAAACCCTCTCAAGCTTTTGAACTTTGCGGTGGCGTATATAATTTCTAAATCTAACAGTATAACAAATAATGATAGCGAAGCTTTAAAAGGGAATCACTGTAGGCCAAATAAATCAGGGGACTCACGAGTGTTTGTAAGTGAAGGGCTAGAGCAGTGACACTCAGACCTCAGTGGTTCAGGCGCCAAATTAGCGACCAACATTACGCAAAAGAGCCACAGTGGTGTGAATTCATTGTTTCATTTAATATATATTATTCTCATAGCAAAATGACTGAACAAGTATTATTATTTTACCAACTACAATTGGTTAGTAACAGAGTAAAAGCTTCATGACTGGTTAATAACTTAGATTGGTTAATAATTAAATCACACACTGTTTTAATATCATGTGCTGCAAAGAGCCGCAGGAGCCACTTGCAGCTCCCAAGTCTCAGTCTGAGTATCACTGGGTTAGAGGCTTAGCTGCTTGCATGATGATAGATGACCTGGTTTAAGTAGCTGAAGTCCTGTGGTTTTAGAGGCTAAGCAGGGCTGAATATGGTCAGTAGTTGGATTGGAGACCTCCCAGGGAACGGGTGTTTATGGAACACATGGATCTTTTGTGCCCCAGGTTATAGTCCCTAGGGCTGTCAGCTCAGCATGAAATTCATTTAAAATGTTTAGGAGAAAAAAACCTCTTTCTGCATTGGCCCTGGAATGATGTAATCACTAAGGATATAATCACCAGCACCTGCCTCTGTTTGTGCCTGTAGCTTCATTGAGCTCACATACAGACAGTCATAGGAGATGAGCCCAACCTAAGACAGAAGTAAGGGAGCATTTCCTGCCAAAATGTACACAAGGAGAAGGATTGATAGTCTGGCAGGCACAGAGCCAGTGCCTGGAGGCAGCCTGATATGTCAATAGAAGAGGGCAGCAACTTTAGGACAATTGTGGTCAAGAGACTCAGCCTGTAAGGACTATGCAGCCCCATGTTTCAGCAGCTTGCCCACCAATTCCAGTAGAGATAGGCCAGCTCCTGATTTAAGGCCAGATTGTGACTGGCAGATGTGTGGATGCACAAGGAGGGGAGGACAGTAACCAAGCACAATTGCAATGATGCTGCTGCAGTAGGCACGATGCCTCCCAGAGCTCCTCACTGCCACCAGAAGGACAGTGCCTTAAAGTCACAGTACAACCTTTATTCTCTATCTTTCACTTCCCGCCCTCCTATTTGTGTTGTTATTCCACTGTAGTTTCCAGGTTCCCCTCACTGGGTTGTGAAGTCAGAGGTAAGAGCCCGATTACCTTTGTTGTAGACATTGGTTGGGAGTTGCACATCGCTGTACGTTGTGTTCACCAGCAGATTATTGAAATGCTCATTTGGCTCCAGAATGAATTCGTCTCCAAGCTCCACATAATTATCATTCTCATCCTTCTCGTTAATCAGGAGAGAGTTGTAGTAATCAAACTGTTGATGAGGAGCAATGAGACAGAGGAAAGGGGAAAGACATCAAGAGAGTTTATTATCGGTACTGCCAGAAAAAAAATAATCTTTCCCTGCTTTTCCCCGCTGCCTCCCTCCCTCTGGAGCCCTTCCCCACTGCCAGAATCCTTCCCTGCAGTGGGGAAAGGTTCCAGCAGCAGGGAGCTTGCAGAGCCTTTCCCCACTGCTGGAGCCTTTCCCCATTGCCTCCTTGCTGCCAGAGATTTCCCCCACTGCTGTAGCCTTTTCCTGCAGCTAAAAACAGCAGTGCATATGGGAAGGCATAGCTTGGGCAAGTAGAGAGCCATGTACTTGGGTACATGCCCATACCTTTCAGGCATATCTGTATGCCTTGTCTAAGCCATACCTGACCATCTATACTGCTACTTAAACCCATGCTAGGGGGACTACCTGAGAACATACGCTACACTCCACTGAAAGAAGCATGCAGTGTAGATGTAGCCTCGATCTTTAATCCTTCACCCCACCCTCTTTGACAGATGTGTTCAGGTAGCTCCAGTAGAACTGATAATGGCCAAGTCATCACTCTTACCTGGTAGTCATAGAATCATAGAATATCAGGGTTGGAAGGGACCTCAGGAGGTCATCTAGTCCAACCCCCTGCTCAAAGCAGGACCAATCCCCAGACAGATTTTTGCCCCAGATCCCTAAATGGCTCCCTCAAGGATTGAACTCACAACCCTGGGTTTAGCAGGCCAATGCTCAAACCACTGCCAGTCTGTGATCAGATCAACTCACCAGCCCCACCAGCTTTTTGCAGCCAAATGACAAGAAGTGAGGTTTACAGTGGAACATACCAATCCAAGAGGAAGTGGAGAGTTTCCACTTATCCATCATTCGGAGTCCCTGTTATTCCCCCTGTTAAAACTCCACTTCCTCTCCTGCTGATCACAAAGCACCCCTTTCTCCCAGGATGGCACAGCACACAGGAGATCTTCCTTTGGAGATCACCTTTAAGGGCATCCCATGAGTTAGCCACAGCTGGGGGTGCCAGAGAGTCTGGAGTGGAAGGAATCAGCACCCTTCTTTCTGCAACATCCCCAGCTGCCACCAGCATGTGCAGCAAGAATCTGAAGGGTGCTCTTCAGCATGAGTTTACTACCACTGTGGCAGAGTGAGGAGCTGCCATCATGCCCTGGACCTGCCATGGGAATCACTTATTTAATCAGAATGACTTCTAATGAGACAGGAGTGAGTTATTAATGTGCTACTGGGTGCTCTGAAGGCAAGGAAATTCCCAACATGCCTAGGAATGGGATGGTTAGATAACTGGGCACTCTTGGGATTGGCAGACCATGCCTGGCTATTGGCATGGTCCCTGTCACATGAATCAGGGCTTTGTCATTGAAGGATATGAACGTACCGCCAGAGAGGAGTTGAATTCATGGTTCAGATCTGCGTCTTCCGCAGCTTCCACCAGCCTCTAATGCAAACACACACAAAGGGAGGATGAGTGGGAAACACCGGACAAGTCTTTTCAGAAGCATGAATTGTTCACAAAATACTGAAAACCCAGTGACTCGGACTTCAGATCTAGTTCAGCACAGCAGAGGAAGCTACGGGAGGTTACAAATTCCCCTGCATCCAATAAAGGTACTAAAGTTCTGTGCAGCAAGTTTCAAATCTGGGGAGTGTACTCACAACTACTCATTCCTAAGACTTTGTCCCCCCAAATAATGAGTACGTGGCACTGAACATATTCATAGAGAGAGACAGGGCTGCCCAGAAGGGGGGTGGGCAAGTGGGGCAATTTGCCCCAGGCCCCACAGGGTCCCCCACGAGAATATAGTATTCTATAGTATTGCAACTTTTTTTTAATGGAAGGGGCCCCCGAAATTGCTTTGCCCTGGGCCCCCTGAATCCTCTGGGCAGCCCTGGAGAGAGAGACTTCTATTCAGAAGAACAACAGAAGTTTTCATTCCACTTTAACTGGAGCCCTGTGAAAAAGACAATCCAGTGCCAGCTCAGCTTCAGCCTATCACCAACATAAAGGGAACTGAGACAAACAGTGTGATGACTGGATTTTCAAAAGGGCCAGGAAATGTTATGACCATTGGTAAACTTTGCCAGCTATGGAAGCTAAAATAATCATCTGCATTATCAAATCTCATGTTTCAGGGCATCAACTGATCATTTGTTTAGATTAAAATGGAATCCTGCTCAAACACAGCCGCATTTACAACACTGCACAATAAACTGTAGCTGTGTTATGGGCCTTAATAAGGCAATCCAAGTTTGAATCTGAGTCTAATCTTCATGGAAGGTCCCTAGCTCTCTGATGAGTCAAACCAAAACCCTGGACCTGAACACACCTAAACTTTCCTTTTGATCCAGATCCAAATATTGTGGTTTTGGCCCATCTTTACTTTTTTTACACCAAATGTTTTTTAAGGAGCCAGGACTCTGTGACTATGGATCTGCACTTCTAAAATTAGGGTAAATACATTGGCACACAACAGATTCATAGATGTTAAGACTAGAAGGGACCATTATGATCAAGATTCTAGCTTGACTTCCCTACATAACACAGGTCAAAGAACCTCACCCAATCAGAGAGCAACTAATGCGCACAATACACATTCTCAAGCAGCTGCAAGAGTCAAACTCACAGTCCATGGGTATTGCTCAGTGACAATAGTCACAGTATGCCACACTGGGCCACACAATGTTCAAACAGGCTGCCACTCTTCAATAGCCAGTGTTCACTGCACAGGGCAGGGGTCTCACCTTTTGGAGAGTTAGCCCTGGATCTGTTGGATGAATGTTCATTATCTCATATTTATTTTGAAGCTAGCCAAGTCACTTGTTTTATTTTTCACCCCTGGCGGAGGTAGAAGCCACTATTCCTCTGTTTGTATGCCAGTATCTTTCCGCTAGTGGCTACATAATAACAGATGGAGTCAAGAGGCACCAGCTGTTGTTTGGACGGGCAATGAACTCCTCGTATAACCTTTATACCTGCATAGCTTAGCAGTTGCAGGGAAATCAGGACCAGATATTTTTAGAGGTATTTAGGAGCCTAAAGATGCAGGCACCTAGTGGGATTTTCAAAAGCACATAGGTACCTGAGTCCCATTGATTTCAATGGAAGTTAGGTGCCTAGGTGCTTTGTAACTCCCACTAGGATCCTATCTACATCATTAGGTGCCTAAATACCTTTAAACATTTGGCTTTCAGTGTATCTAGCTTTGTGGTTGGCAAAAGGGGATTTCCCCATAAAGTTCTCAAGTTTGTACCTCAACAGCTTCTACTTTTCTGCGCAGCATGCTCTCCATCTCCTCTGAGAACTTCTTCACCAGCTCCAAGCCATCCACCTCCTTGATCTTCAGAGTGGGCTCCACATCTTTGTACTTCTGGCCAAAGGAAAGGAGAAAATCCTCACTGAATAAAAGATTCACTAGGAAAGTCGTGAATCAATTACATTAGCTGGGCATTCTAGTTACTGAGGAGAGATGCATCTAAAGGGTGGTCCTGATATTCATCTATCCTTTTCTATGCCTCCCCTTTCTTCCCTTCAGTTGGACCTGTGCAAATAACTGGTGCATAATGCAGTTAATTTAGACCTCTACGCATAAGTAACTGATTTGTTGGTGCCATCAGGTGCTTGTAGTTGTCTAAGTTACCTCAGCTGCACCAGCAAATGATCACCCGTGCAAAAATGTGCCTGTGGTTATTCGCACCCGCAAACTGTGCAAAAATGGAAGCCAAGTTTTGAAAGCTTGCCAATGTGTGTATGTACATCAAAGATAACTGTATATGTGCCATGCATACCTGCCACCATGCCACCTCAAGCTGAGTTCTTGTCAACTCTCACAAGCCAAGGAGGATTGGGTCTTATCAGTGCTTATATGGGACTTGGGAGACCTCCCAGACAAATCCAGGGGTGCAGGGAGTGGTGATGGTGACTGAGTTCCAGAGTCAGTGCTGAACCAATTCCCTGCCTTGGGGTTAATGAGCACTAGAGCTGGGGATGCCCTCCACTCGCTGAGACAAAGTCCTGACAATTTCATAGTCATTCAAGATTTTCTGACATCTGATACAAAATAGGGGTTTAACCCGCAGTATTCTGTCCAAATTCCAAACTGGGCAATTATATTGTGCATGCCTAAATCACCCCTGCAGTTTCCATGTTAGATGTGATAGTCCTTATGTCTTCTCTTTAAAAACAACGAGGAAAGAGGAGCAGACCAGATGGGAGCAGGAAGGGAAACAAACTGCAAAAGGAGACAATGTGATTAACCTCTGTCAAAAAGGACAGAGCCCCTATCCTGCTAGTGGTGATGGTGATGAGAGTGTTTTGATTTAAGCGGGAAAACAAATTAATAGATTCCCTTAGTCCCTCAGCCTTTCTCTTTGCAGTATATGCACTCCACCCTTGCCCCCGGATGTGCAGGATTTATAAACAGGCTACATGGAGAAAGTTTTGTGAGATCCCCTTTTTAAAATATTGGCAGCATACCAGTGCTCTCAGCCTGAGGTTCATTCTCCAGCATGATACAAAATGAGTGGGGGGCAGAGGATTTGGTGGTCCTTTCTAATTAGAAGATGTGGCGAGGGGTTTGAATGTCTCTGGGATAAACCACCAGGGCTCCTATTGTTAGACAAGCTCACTCATCATTAGAGAAGGCTGCTGAGCATATGTGGAGTCTGAAACGCCCTGAGGAGGGGACAGGGCTGAGGAGGTAGGTCAGAAATAGAATCATACCCAGCTTGCGGCAGGCGCGTGCGGAAGCTGCTAGTACTGTCTGGCATGATTAACAGAGCAAGGTTTTACTGGATTAAAAACTCCAGCCCTTGCATCCATGCTGCTGCTGCTGGGTAGCTGGACTGGATGGGGGAGGGGAAAAGAAGAGGAGGGGATGATTGCAAAGCACAGCAACACTACCAACAGGAGATTTACAGCCCACAGATGGAAGGCCCTGGATGATGACGAGACCACGGGACTCATCCCAGCTGCTGCCAGCCTGTCCCATTTAACTGTGTCATAGTTTCATCTGCAGAGAAGCTGATCTCTGCCACTCTGGGGGCTTTAATCAGGGCCCTCCTCTGTGAGATCAGAGTAATCTCCCCTTGGAATGCAAGTTAGCTGGGAAAACTATACTAGCACTTGCATGCATGCTCTGTGCAAAGAAAACACTGTCAGCAGTGGATAAACTGGGGTTGTACAGGATGGAGCAGTGATTGTTCCCAACAGCGCAGGGCTGAACAGCAGCGTTTTCGCTCTAGCAGGGTAATAACAGCACTTTGCACTCCTGTCAGTGATTTTGAGCATGCTTCTGACACATCAGTAATTAGAGGTTAAAAGGATATCAATAACAATGGGCACTTGAGTTTACCAGCCACAGTGTACATTAAGAGCCCAGCCACACATAGTGTGCACAGTTCAACCCTTAGAATTCTCTGGGGTGGGGAGAATATTGCACAACATTAGCAGCTGGACATTTCAATGAATTCAGTGGGGCTGTGTTCACCTTTGTGTTCCATGAAATATTCTAGCAAATAATTTTACTGGCCGGAATGTTGATGAAAACAGTGAATTTTAATAGGACTCTTAGAGACTATTTGCTGAAAGAATATTCACATCCCACATGTAGGGAACACAAATAATGCCATGTGACCTCAGGTATTATGATCAGTTACCATAGTGATAAGTGCACTATAAATGTCTAGGTAGACTTCTGTGTCCAATCAAAACTAACCAACACAGATTACATTTAGAATCTTGGTTATCAAATATCAACCCAGATTCATTTGCTGAAATTATTCAGCAAGTAATTTTTAATAACAAAGAGTCAAAAAACAAAAAAACCCACCACCACCAGAAGAAAAAACGATAAGTTGCTTGAGTACAAGTCACAAACAGAAAAAGAGTCTATGTTCGTAAGCTACATCACTCCTTTAAAACCATGGTAACAACTAATTGGGATTCTCCTTCAGCACAAGTTGGGGAGGCTGAGTTCTGTATCCTTTGCTGTGTCTGTGAAGTGATTTACATTGCCAAATATATGTTCCTGTTCCAACCTCCATGAAATTTAGTCCACTGAAGTACTTAGCATTGCATAACTCACTGACAGTGCCACTACTTAAGTCAGAGAAAGACATTCCACCCTCACCCAGCAAAATCACTTAACATTCATTATTTAATTTGTCTGTTCTGGCCATTCTGCAATATTTAGTAATCTCCTTACTCAGTCTCATCTCCAGCTGAAGCCAACGGGGTTTAGCCACAAAGGAAAGCAGGAACTGGTTCTAGGAAACATATTCATTTTTCAATTTCTAATTAACTAAATATAGTAAGCGTGAAATCCTGGGCCCATTGAAGTCAATGGCAGTTTTTCCATTGACTTCAATGGAGCCAGGATTTCACCCTCACTGAGCTCTCTTTTCTCAGTAAAAACAATAGTAAGTAATTCAATTACTTAGGGTCAAATCCTGATCCACATGTCCTCCAGACCATGAACAACTAAGTTTTCCATGATGGGCTGGGTTCTGTGGTCACTGAAATTCTCAGCAGTGGCTGTTGTATAACAGAGAGCAGCTGGTAGACTATATAGCCGGCAAACTCGACACGCCATAGAAAAACAAAGCCTGGATTTTTTGTGCCCTTCAAATGTACTTTGTCAGCCTCATAGAGTTTTCTGGGCCTTCTGCTATGCTTTCTCCTCCCATGGATTTTTCAGTGGGGAGGAATGAACCAGCCCTTTTTATCTAATTACTAGAAGTTATCAGGAATTAGAAAGTATTACTTATTGCATAATGCACACGTTTTTTATTACTCTTAAGAAAAGAAATGACTAATTTAAAGTAATTTCTCTCTTTGGGTGAAAGCAATTTGTATGAAATTCACCCCTTTGAACACAAAAGGCCTGTGAACCATTAAGTCCCATTTAAGTTTTCAAAATAGGGCTCACAGAAAAGGAACCACCAAAGCTAAAGAAGATGTATGCTTTGCCACTGTTCCCACAGCAGAGCCAACGCATTGCAGTGGAGATTTCAGCAGACCAGAGCAAATCAATTTTTAAGCATCCTTTAGTGGCTATGTAAAATTTGCTGTGACCATGTCCTGGCTGGTTCCTGGCTCACTGCTAGCTGAGGAATGGGGCTCCATGTTGCTTTCTGGTGTCATCATAATTCTAACACAGCCTAAGGCTTTATTGGACCTGGTGGGATGGGTGCAGGTTGGCGGTATCCAGTAGGATTGGAAGCAGGGGGTGTGGGTTGCAATAGGAATGCCTTATTAGTTTTCCTCTCTTTAAAACAACAAAAGCAAGCAAAAACTGCCAATGAAATTCAATGCAAAATGTTAATTAATGAAATAGAAGATTTAAATATAGAAAAGGTAGGAAATGAAAAATTATGGTGCTAATAGCAACGGGAATTTAGTTACATTGTAAATATATCAAGCTCCTAATGCAAGGCCAAATTCTGATGTCCTTATTGTTATTACTCAGGTTTTTACTATGTCGTTACACAGGCAAAACTCCCATTGACTTCAATAAGAGTTTTGCCTGAGTGAGGAGTGAGCAAACATTGAGAAAAAACTCCAGGATTTGGCCTCTGCATTGTAAATCCATTAGGGAAGGGACCTGTCCTTGTATTTGTCTGCAAAGCGCCCCAAATACCTATAATGCTGTAGCAGCAAGCCAAAATATTTCATGTGTGAAATGTGCCATGTAGCTCAAATATGATAACGTTGCTTTGGAAACTCTTGTATTTGAATTTTCTGACTTCTGTGCATTCAAATCCCCTGCCTTAACATAACCTGAGTCTGGGTGCATGTGTGTGTGTGTGTGTGCGGGTGCTGGATTACATCAAAGTTCTTTGTAGGTCTGGCCTCTTTGAAAACAAGTTTCACCTATTTCAAGAGGTTTGTTCACATTACTGCATTAGGAGGATACCTGATCTTAGCCTCATGAAATCTCTCTCTCTCTCCACAGCTATAGCATCAAGCATGCAGATTGAAGTCCTTCAAGCTCATCTGCTTTAAGGAGCTTATTAGCGAAGATGGTGTTTGATCTAGAGTTTCCTAACAGGATAGAGGATGAGGAAAGACCCGGGAAAATGGGCACAGCAGGAAGAGAAGGGAAAACCCCAGGACGAGAGGGAAAAATAAATAGGATTCGAGAGGGAGCAAGGGGGGGAGAGGTAATTCAGACTTGTCTGAGCTGCATGTGTATTTCTCTAGTAATGTCTAAACTGGGTAAGAAATGGACTTGGGGAGATGACTCAGAGAAGGAGAGAGTACGCAGGGCTGTGTTGGATCAGAAATCAAAACCAGTTCCTGCAGGAAGTGACAATGGTGACTCAATGAGTGGCATTCTTCCCCTGAGACGCCGCTGAACCAGTGTCCCACTCTGACATCAAGAATTCCATTTCAAGCAAAGCCCAGTCCATCTGCATGCAGTGCAGCAGGTCTGCATCGTGCACAAGAGAGAGGCAGATACCGCCTTCTCTCTATCAGTGCACTGCTCAGTATCTTTGACGGGGGCAGATGAAATGTGGCTATTCGTGGGTGGGGGGTGCTCTGTCCTCTATCAGGGAAAGACAGGTGCCACCCCTGCTGCATGAATCCTGGGCTTGATTTGCTGGTCAGAATCAAACTGTCTTTCAGTCAGAAATCAATCGTCTTGTCTCTGAGAGAATCACACATAAGATTTTGCTGGATTTGGTGCAATCTTTTATTGACGATCTAAACATGGTGACTGCTATTGTTAGAAGTAGCATCTATGAGCCCTGTTGTGCTAGGTTCTGTACAGCTCCTCTCCCAAAGACCTTACAGTCTAAATAGACAAGACAGACAAAGGGGAAATAGAGGCACAGAGAGGTGAAAGGTCACCCAGCAAGCCAATGGCTGAGGTGGGAATAGAACCCACATATCCTGGCTCCTAGTAACTTGTCCACACTGCCTTTCACAGACCACACTGCTTCTCATAACACTGGGTTTGTCAAGGAACAACCCCTCTGACTTTAAGGAAGGTGGAAGCCTTTAACCTCTGAGCAGAAATAGCCACAAGAGCAGCATTGGTTGGTTCTGATGGAGCAGTGGAGACAAAGACGGCAGCATTTTCTCACAGTCCTTAACAGAGATGGTGAAGCTTATAAAACCCGATGGAAAATTCATACCTGCAGTCTTTCCATGAAGATCATGACAAGGGGCAAATGCCTTGTGACATCGCAGGAGATGGAGGTCCCAGCAGAAAGCAAATAGCTTCCATTTGAATGGCTTCTCTAGGTCTAAAGGGAACTTGGATACCTGCCAGAAGCTGCTTCCATCAGCTGGTGACACTATAGAAGAGTTGGCAAGGGGCAACCATCATCACCGCTACTAAAGGCCCGGCTTCAGCCCGTTTTGGTATCACACCACAGCTGGGTAAGAATTGGGCAATGAAGGGTCTGGACGCATTTTATTCCAATGTGGCACATGTATGCTCCTCATGAACAGGACTAATGATCAGTGTAGATGACTCATGCTAAAGGACCAGAGGACATTTATCAGACAAGCACAGCCAAGGAGGCAGAGAGGGAATCTGTTCTTGCATCAGACAGAAGGGAACACACTAGAGAAGGAGTTTCCAGAGGGTCCAGCAGAAAGGTGAGGAAGTGTGAATGGAACAACATTCTGTCCCTTTTGTAGCTGCAGCACAGGAGTGGCTCTATCAGTAGAAAGAGGGCAAAATGTAAACAGGTAGAAGGAGTGAAGGGCAATTTATGGCTTGGTGCAAAGAGAAGATGCAGGGAAGTAGGAGAGAGAAGGGATGGTGGGTGCGAGGAAAGAATCCATCCTCTCAGATAGGTTCTGCGGTGCTCATACTGAGCCCTGTCCTCTCCAGCAGCACCAAAAAGAGGCTGATTGGTAAAACTATGCTTGCAGCACAAAGGGCGGAGTCAAAGTTGCGCGAGAGCATCCCTCCCCTCCCCTCCTCAAGCTGTCTATAGCAGACAGGGACAGCAACCAGGTAGGGAAAGCAATGGTGTCCCAGGTTACTGGGTGTGCTTGCACTGAATGCCTTCCACTATCACAAAAGACACCATCATGACACAGCATCTTAGCACTAGCCCTTTCTACAATATAGAAATTGGTGTAGAAACTACTCTCACTTCTCCCTATTCCCAGAAATGGGTTATCTACTAGGCCATAATTGGAGCAGAGTCCCCTGGGAGATTGGGCAAAGAGGATGATAACCGGGCTACATATCTGTCATCCACTAGGGGCTCCAGGTTCCACCACGGACACCTATTGCCTGGAAGCAGAACACAGGGAGACTGATTGCACCAGCAGGCTCATGCAGCAACTTGGGGGTGATTTTCAACAATGCTCAGCACTGGCTGAACCCTGCTCCCCAATTTACAATTAGCTTCACTGGGAGCAGGGACAGGCCAGTGCTGAGCACTTTCAAAGGCCCACCCTCAGTACTATATACGGAGGCCATCCAAGCCAATGAGCCATTGGCAGTGGCCATATGGAAAGAGGCTGATTTTCACAGAAGGAAGATCTGAATCAGAACAGAGAAGCTCCCTCCCACTACTCTCTGGCAATGAGAGCCAGGGGAATGACAATGATCAAGAGGCAGGTCTGGTGCTCATTGCTCTCCATGCTAAAGCCTAACCTACCTACATGCACAGTCACTGTGTGTGAGTTCATGAAGAGTGTGATTGGTTCCTTATCTGGCTCATGGAACTGCCTCTCAGCCAGGATTCTGATGAGAACTCTGTCCCCCGGCAATTTCAATGAACACTCTCCCCCCGCCCCCCATCTAGCTTCTGCATTGGCCTGTTCCATATAAAATATACTACGTCCCATGCAGACTCACACATGCACACTTCAAATTAGCCTTCTGCGATTGGAACTCAATCACTCCAAAGTTCATGGACAGCAAAAGAGGAGCTGGCCTGACCAAAGCAAGCTCATTATTTCAGATAATTACGTGCTGGTTCATAACTGATTAATTCCAGCAGAAACTTGAGACAGATTTTTGCCCTGTGCTTCTCCAGTTCCAGCATTTCCTACCTGAACTCATGGACGGAGCGAAACAAACAAGATGGTTCAAATTCTCTGCTGGTGCAAATGGGCCAAACACCACTGAAGTCACTGGAGCTGGACCCATTTATGCCAGCTGCTGCCAATCAGGATGTTCCTAGCAGCTGGAATTTCAAGAAGTGGAGGGTATGAAGGTTGCTATTCCTGTGCTGAAGTTGCAGGGGCATGGATTAAAGAACTGTGCATGATGGGCAGGGTAGGGTGAGCAATTCTTTATTCCAAGGCAATCTAGTGGTATACAGCTGCTTTCAGAAATGGCATCACAACGCCCTTCAGAGAATCAGTCCTAAACTAAAGAGGAAAATCAAATTTTAAAGCAAGATTTAAAGAGAGGGAAGTGACTCAGTGGAACAGTGGGAGGAAGACAGATGAGGAAGTACAAATAAACAAGAGAGCCCCAGTTGGGAAAGCCCAGGGAACAGAGAGGAAGGCAATATTGGAGTAGAGTGAGCAGGTGGGGGTGTAGATGTATATGCAGTTAAGAAGGGAGGAGAAGAGTGAATATGGTCATTAAAGGAAATAGGTGGATATGAGGTCAGAGGAGAAAGGTGAACAGTGCCCATGGACAGTATGAAAAGCCAGGAGGGCAATTCTGAGTCCGAAGTGGCTAATGAGCCAATGAAAGCATCAGAGAGAGGTGCAAATGAAAGTTGGACCAATGAAAGTTAGAGGGTAGGGACTGGGAAATGAATCCAAATGGTCTTGAAAGTTAGTGAAGATTTCCTAGTGTTGCCCTTCTACAGTCGATCCCCAGGACACACACAGAGAGAGAAGATACAGAGGAGGGAAATCTGAAACCAGCAAAGGTCCTTGCAGGTATAGCCTACCTTCTGTAAGAGGAGCGAGCCTGAATACTTTGTCATGATGGAATATATCTCCCCACCAAAGGCATCTGCCCAGGACTTCACCCTAAAGTGGAAAAAGAGGAAAACCAGCAGTATTAACACATCAGGTAGATAAGCTGCATCAAAGGGCAACAGTCATGCAGGCATGAATCACTTCCCGTCTCCCTATGCATGCAAATCACCAAGCACACCTATGACACAGTAGAAAAAGTGCTAACATGTTTTCTTTTTGAACTGCTAGTGAAACACACAACAGTAGTGGGAAACCATCATCTCTGTGGCCCACTCTGCACCCTGGTCTTTCCTTACCATTAGGCTGTTTTAACAGTGCCAAGTTTTGGGGTTCTTATTCAGTCATTATTGACTCTAACAGGAGTTTGCTTGAGTAAAGACCAAGTAAAATCTGAGTTATAACAGGGTAAGGATCTCAGGATTCAGCCCTTAGACCATGCACTCTTTGGGGTAGGGACAATGAGCCAGGCTGTGATCTCAGTTACTCCAGTGTGAATCCAAGGCATGCAATTGCTTTCAGTGAAGGTATGCTGGACTGACACGGGTGTAAACTGGGAGCAGATTCTGGGTCAAATCTTATTTCTCTGTCAAGTACCATGCACATGTATGCCATCCTACAAATAATAGACAATAGCAATACCACACAGAGATCATAAGGGTGGTGACATGCAGGCTGAGCATAAAGATATTGCCTCCTCCCCAAATTAGCATATATGGCTGCAGTAATTGTCAGAATACTTAATCAGGAATTATGTTAGGATGTTCCACCTACACTCAGTTCCTTTTATAGGGATTCACTTAAGAGGTATCTACTTTTTTATAGAACACATGGCTGTCTCCACTTATCGGAACAAACCAGTTGCTTATGGAGTACAGATTCTTACCTATAATTTTCAGTGGGATTCTTCCCAGTTCTAAGAAAACTTTAAACCTAGAGGGCCTGATTCTTCTCTTTGCAATGCCAGTACAGTATAATGCAATCAAAATCAATGGCATTCCACCACCATAAAAAACTAGTGCAATGGCATGGTAAATCAAGCACTGAGACATCCATTTTTTAACCCCTGTGTGTGATCCTGCTCCCACTGAAGTCAATGGAAGCAACTCAGTATTTCTGGCTTTTATGGTCAGTTTATTGGTTTCTGCATCCTGTTTTGTCAGCCACAGTCATCTTTTTTTTTATACCCTGAAAACAATACCGAATATTTGAATTCGCTAGGAAGACAGGATTCACTTTCCCATCTCAGACCCTTATTCTGACAAGCCCACTAGCTTGCTTCTGGCCAGAGAAAAGCTAAAAACAAACACTTTGCCTATTGTGTAATGCATGGGGGTGGGGAAGAATTCCTTCCAGACCCTTATGGTGATCAGCTGATGTCCTGAAGCATGAGATCTGATTACCCGTATCTCATTATTTAACTCAATAGCCCCCTGAAGCAGCTCATTTAACAACTTGTCTCTACAAGCCATTTAATGTTGGCATGAAAATTTACTAAGTCACAAAAGCTGCTTACCCACCCATATGATGATGATGATGATAGGAAAGCTACACATAGGGCTTCTGGGAGGTTGCCTAGGGGAACTGCAGCAGTGTTACTATCGCTCTTGATTTTATCAAGTCTTGTGATATTTGGTGTTTGCTCTGAAAGCCAGGGCTCCTGGAATCATGTGATTGCATGAGAATCTCAGAGCTTTCATTAAAAAGAGAAGAAACAAAAGTTTCAAGCCCTCACAGTTGCAAAAGAAAAGCTTGAAAATGTGAACCCTAAAAGCTCCATCACCGGGAAATAAATAAAAGAACCTGAAATTACTATTTTTTAAAAAAACTATATGATTTTTAAGCCAATCCCATGATTTCTGAATGCTTGGGATTGGAAATACTACTGCAGACTCCCAGGAAATATCCTGGGACTGTGGCAATGGGCAGGCAGCTGTGGCACAGCTGTGTTCAGAGCACAGCAGCATCTCTATTGACTGTTCTCTGGCTGCCTCCCTAGCCCTGTTGGCTGCCTCTCTGCTGGGTTTCTTGAAGCTACGTGTGGCACTTGGGGTGCTGGAGAATCTACATTTCCTGCAGGCAAAGAGAAGGACAGTGCTGGCCAGGGAGTTAGGGGGAAGCATGGGGATAGAAAGGAAAGGGGGAGTCATGGAGACAGAGATGGGGAACTACAGGGTGACAAATGGAAGACCAGAAAGAAGAGAAGAGCCATGGGAAGGCATGAGAAGACTCATTAGGGACAATTATAAGAGAGACTGAGGCCTTGGCTACACTTGCGAGTTACAGCACAATAAAGCCGCGTACAGCGCAGTATCTCACTCCCCGTCCACACTGGCAAGGCACGTACAGCACTGTATCTCCGCGGCTACAGCGCTGCTGGTACTCCACCTCCCCGAGAGAATTAAGGAGTATGGCCGCCCAATGTGCTCTGATTGGCCTCCAGAAGTATTCGGCAGTATCCCACAATGCCTGTTCTAGCCACTCTGGTCATCAGTTTGAACTCTGCTGCCCTGGCCTCAGGTGACCAAACGTCAGACCCACCCTTTATATTCCCCGGGAATTTTAAAAATCCCCTTCCTGTTTGCTCAGCCAGGCGTGGAGTGCTATTAGTGAATCTTTCCAGGTGACCATGCCTCCACGTGCCAAGCGAGCCCCAGTATGGAGCAATAGTGAGTTGCTGGACCTCATCAGTGTTTGGGGGGAAGAAGCTGTCCAGTCCCAGCTGCGCTCCAGCCGTAGGAATTACGATACCTTCGGGCAGATATCAAGGGCCATGATGGAAAGGGGCCATGACTGGGACGCACTGCAGTGCAGGATTAAAGTGAAGGAGCTGCGGAATGCCTACCACAAAGCCTGCGAGGCAAATGGCCGCTCGGGTGCTCCCCCTGCGACCTGCCGATTCTACAAAGAGCTGGACGCGATACTTGGGGGTGACCCTACCTCCACTCCGAGTACCACCATGGACACTTCAGAGTGGGGGGAGGAGGAGGAGGAAAGCGGGAGTGAGGGTGCTGGGACGGGGGGAGACACCCCAGAATCCCTGGAGGCATGCAGCCGGGAGCTCTTCTCGAGCCAGGAGGAAGGTAGCCAGTCGCAGTGGCCGGTACTTGGTGGAGGACAAACAGAAGAGCAGGTTCCCGGTAAGCAGCTTTTTTTGTCAGGAAGGAATTTTTTCGGTGCGGGCTCTTTGGGGGAGGAGGGTTAAGGCTGCATGCATGCCTAGATGCGGAATAGTGCATTGATGTGGTCTATCACATCGCGGTAATCGGCCTTGGTAATCTCTTCAAAAGTCTCATCCAGAACGTGGGCAATGCGCTTGCGCAGGTTTCTTGGGAGAGCCACCGTGGTCCTTGTCCCAGTCAGGCTAATGTGTCCGCGCCACTGTGCCGCGAGGGGACCATTGCTGCACACAGGCAAGCTGCATATGGGCCAGGGCAGAAGCCGCATTGCAGTAGAAGACCCTCCCTTGCTTCCCAGGTCACCCTCAGCAGCGAGATATCTTCCAGGATGAACTCCTGTGGAAAATGTTGGGACAGTGTTCAGTGTAGGTTCCCCCTGCAGCTGTTGGCTCTCCCCAAGTCACAGAAACCCAGAGGACAGTACAGCCCTGAAACAATCAGTCCCCCTTACTCACCATTTTGGGGCTTTCGTGGGTTATGTGCGCTCTCTTTGGGATGGGAAAATTATGCTATTGTGTAGACTGTGTGTGCCCTCCTTAAGTGTGGGGGAATCATTACTCTGTCTGGTATAAACAATGCTGCCTCTGTTAAGTGTTGCATTTTGCCTTTACAGATGCAACCTTGAGATCTCAGCCGTCCGTGTTATCACCGCCTGAGAGACTGCAAAAACTCCGGAAGAGACCGCGAAAAAGCAAAGAAGAGATGCTGCAACAAGTGATGCATCAATCTCTTAAAGAGAATCAAAAAGTGCAGGAGTGGAGGGAGAGCGAAAGCAGGATCTGCCAGGAAAACGCAGCGCACCGGCAGCGAAGCACGGAGCACCGGCAGCAAAGCATGGATTGGCTCATAAGCATCATGGAGCGCCAAGTGGACTCTATCCAGGCGCTCGTAGCCATGCAGGCGGAGCACTACCGCGCCCACCCCCCCCTGCAGCCCTTGTCCCAAAACTCTTTCCCTTGTGCCCCCATGTCACCTCCAACCCACTTTCCCTAACATCCGGGTTCTTACCACCACCAGCTGCCTCCAACACCTGTATCTTCACCACCCAGCCCTGAAAACTATGACCCTTACCCTCTGCACTCAACCCCCATCACCATGCAGTATAGCCATCCTGAAGTGCAGCACTCATTGCACAGCACTCCAGACAGGACATAGGCAAATCTGTGATTGTACCATTCCCCACCCCACCCCCTTGCCCTTTCTGATTCCCAAGCAGTTGTGTTTCTTTTCAATAAATGGATTTTTTGGCTTTGAAAACAGTCTTTATTATTGCATAAAGTAAAAGATACCTTAGCCCAGGAAAGAAACAGGCACTACAAATCAGCTTAGCAAACACAGATTCCTACTAACATTGGAACCACTGCACTTCACTCCCGTGCAGGGCACCAGACATTACTGCTGGTTTTCAGCCTCAAATTGCTCCCTCAAGGCATCCCTAATCCTTGCAGCCCTGTGCTAGGCCCCTGTAATAGCCCTGCTCTCTGGCTGTGCAAATTCAGCCTCCAGATGTTGAACCTCGGCGGTCCATGCCTGACTGAATCTTTCACCCTTCCCTTCACAAATATTATGGAGGGTACAGCAAGCGAATATAACCGCGGGGATGCTGTTTTCGGCCAAGTCCAGCTTCCCATACAGAGATCGCCAGCGGCCCTTTAAACAGCCAAAAGCACATTCCACAGTCATTCGGCACCGGCTCAGCCTGTAGTTGAACTGTTCCTTGCTGCTGTCAAGGCTCCCTGTGTAGGGTTTCATGAGCCACGGCATTAACGGGTAAGCGGGATCTCCAAGGATCACAATGGGCATTCGACTTCCCCTACTGTGATCCTCTGCTCTGGGAAAAAAGTCCCGGCCTGCAGCTTCCTGAACAGGCCAGTGTTTCGAAAGATGCATGCGTCATGCACCTTTCCGGGCCAGCCTGCGTTAATGTCAATGAAATGCCCACGGTGATCCACAAGCACCTGGAGAACCATAGAGAAATACCCCTTCCGATTAACGTACTCGGATGCTGGGTGGGCTGGTGCCAGAATAGGAATATGCGTCCCATCTATCACCCCTCCATACTTAGGGAAACCCATTTGTGCAAAGCCATCCACAATGTCCTGCACGTTACCCGGAGTCATAGAATCATAGAATATCAGGGTTGGAAGGGACCTCAGGAGGTCATCTAGTCCAACCCCCTGCTCAAAGCAGGACCAATCCCCAGACAGATTTTTGCACCAGATCCCTAAATGGCCCCCTCAAGGATTGAACTCTCAACCCTGGGTTTAGCAGGCCAATGCTCAAACCACTGAGCTATCCCTCCCCCCACAGTTCTTCTGAGCAGAATGCGATTAATGGCCCTGCAAACTTGCATCAACACGATTCCAACGGTCAACTTTCCGACTCCAAACTGGTTAGCGACCGATCAGTAGCTGTCTGGAGTTGCCAGCTTCCAGATTGCAATAGCCACCCGCTTCTCCACCGGCAGGGCAGCTCTCAATCTCATGTCCTTGCGCCGCAGGGTGGGGGCGAGCTCCTCACACAGTCCCATGAAAGTGGCTTTTCTCATCTGAAAGTTCTGCAGCCACTGCTCGTCATCCCAGACTTGCATGACGATGTGATCCCACCACTCGGTGCTTGTTTCCCGAGCCCAAAAGCGGCGTTCCACGGTGCTGAGCATGTCCGTGAATGCCACAAGCAATTTCGTGTTGTACGTGTTACACAACTCGATATCATCGTCGGACTCCTTGATATCATTGTCGAACTCCTCACTGTCACTTTGGATCTTAAGGAATAGCTCGACTGCCAAACATGACATGCTGGCGAGACTCGTCAGCATTCTTCTCAGCATTTCAGGCTCCATTTCCCGCAGACCGAAATGGAACACAGACCGCGCTGCACAGAAACCGTTGAAAGATGGCATTGAAAGATGGTGCCAAATGTGGACGGAAACACAGGGATCGCTGGGATGCGAAGCGATGCATCACGGGGCGCTGGGACAGGACCCAGAATGCCCTGCACCCCCTATCCCCTTCCCACAACCCACGGCGCCAGAATGGGAAGAGGTGCTCTGTGGGATAGCTGCCCATAATGCACCACTCCTAATGCCGCTGCAAGTGCCGCAAATGTATCCACGACAGTGCGCTGGCGGCTGTCAGTGTGGACAGACTGCAGCGCTTCCCCTACTCAGCTGTACGAAGACAGGTTTAACTCACAGCGCTGTTCAGCTGCAAGTGTAGCCATACCCATAGGTCAGGCAACTGGCAGCATACAGGGACTTCTCATCAGAGCAGTGTAAAAGGGAGGTTCCTGTAGGTAAATAGGGGTCAGAAATAAATGGGGACCCAAGAAGGGCACTGAGACAGCCAATGGACAATTATTTTTCACATAAGCCAGGAGCCTGGGGGCTGCTGGAGGGCTAGGTGCATTTTGGTGAATCTGAGGTAGTTGTCTTTGTTAGATGATTGAGAGAAGAGGACAAAGAACCAAACTCATATTCACCAGATTGCATCAAAACTTCTTCTGTGACTGCCGGTTCACACAACCCCAGATAATATGCAGAATTGTCCCTCTGGGGGGAAAGCCTTGAAATGTCAGTAGCTACCTGGTTATTGTGATTTAATAACCATAATTATTAAGAAATTTATCGTGCAGCAGCCAGGATAAAGTCCATGATAAAATGTTATGAGATGCTCAGGGTTAAGCCCCCAAAGGTGGCGATGAATGTGTGGGTTTCTTGGTAAATACATGAAGGATTCCACGGATGGAATCTTTCTGGGTCTATTTGAGAGAGACCTTGAGCTGTTTGAATGCAAAACACTCCTCTTGATCTCAGGAAGAGACGTAAGCTTTCTTCAATAGTTTAGTTCATGTAACTGTTTCTCCAACACAATGTCATTTCTTTCAGCCATCGCATGAGAAGCAGATTTTCCTCCCTCCGAGTAATGCAGAAATATCCAAATCTCTTCCCTTTCAAACAAATTGTAGCATAAAAAATTCTACACCAATATATTTTTAACCTTAAAGTAGTTAAGTTGCTTAAATCAGCTTAGCAAGGTCCAATACTTTTAACTCTGTATATTCAGATGTTAGTATCATGGCAACCTGCCAAAGAAAGATTCGTCACCAATGCAAGACTTACTTTGTAGCATGGTGTCAGCCCTGGGCTAGCCATCCATGACGCTGAGGAGAGGTACATGCACTCCCCTACCCCTCAGAGTGCATGCACAAACGCACGCACACAAGTATGGCACATGCACAAGTCTGTATACACATACTAAAACCCTTGTGTAAAAAGTCCATGCACAGATACATGTCTGAAAACCTGCATACAAATGCAGTGCACACACAATACAATAATGCTATGAAGACTTTGCACTTCTAACGTGCTTTTCATTTGCAGATTTCACAGGATTTTATAAAGGAAGATTAGAGTCATAATCCCCATTTTACAAATAGGGAAAGGAAACAGAGAGAGGTGATATGACCAGCATGCCACCCTACACTAAAATATGTATGTGTGTGTACAGTGCATACGTATACTGCACATGTGTGCATAATAGTCATTGCTGTGTAAGCCTTTGGAGTAATATTATACATAGCCAGTGTAAGGGGATAGTACCAGTACTATATAGAAGTACTAGGAACAGTAAGACAAATTAGATCTTATGTATAAAGATGGCCAGAATGACACATCTTCACTCAAGTACTTCAGACATATCACAGAGCACCAGTGCTACAGCCCTGCCCTAGGAGGATGTTACACACCCGCATAAAATAAGTGCACCTCTGAGGCGGCTCAAATTTGTCCCAGCAACCAGACTGGTCTCCAGCTGCCCCAGAGATCAGAGGCTGTCTTTATACCATGTTTGCCTGCTCCTTCTGGGAGCTGAGGAAATGGACTAGAGACTACAATAAATAACAACACCTAGCTCTTATCTAGTACTTTTTATTTTCAGATCTCAAAGCACTACACAAAGGGGGTCAGTATCATTATCCCCAATTTATCAATAGGGAAACTGAGGCATGGGGAGGGACATGACTGGCCCATGGTCACTGAGCAGCAGGGCTGGCTCCAGGGTTTTCGCCGTCCCAAGCGGCGCAAAAAAAAAAAAAAACGATCGTGATCTGCGGCGGCAATTCGGCGGGAGGTCCTTCACTCCGAGCATGAGTGAGGGACCGTCCACCGAATTGCCGCCGAATAGCTGGACGTGCCGCCTCTCTCTGGAGTGGCCGCCCCAAGCACCTGCTTGGCAAGCTGGTGCCTGGAGCCGGCCCTGCTGAGCAGGCCAGTGGCAGAGACTTTAACTCAGTCCACTAGGCTATTCTGTACACTTTAAGAACAATCCTTTTCTGTCTGTGAGCCCAGGTCCATGGGAATGATTCCCAATGTGGCTTGGACCTGGTGGTGAAGTGAGATTTTGCATCTAGGGCAAAAATCAGGTCAAAGAAATATTCCATGCAAAAAGTACAATTAAAGCTCTGTCGTTCCCCAGACAAATGACATCTCTGAAAGGTGGGGAGGTGGGTGTCTCTTTAAGGGAAGGGACTGGTGCTGGTTACGAGAGGGGATAAAGGAACACTGAGAGAAAAGGGATGATGAATGGCAGAGTGGGGACTGGGGCACTAGTAGCAGAAGAGGGAAATAGACAGTGAAGGGCAGAGGGTCGTAGAGGGCAGAGGAGTATGTGGGTAAAGGGGTATGAGGCATGGGGGAAACACTTACGTTTCCAGTGGTATCTTTGCCTGGGACTTAGCAGAAGGCAGGAGGCAGCTGAGTGAGAGGAAAAGCCACAGAATGGCTCCTGGCACCATCCTCCAGGCAAAGACCATCAGCAACAGGACCAGTTGTATAGACATAGAGATTCCCAGCCACGTTTGCCACTCTATGGAGGTCCCAGCACTGTCCAGACAGGCCCCAGCATGGTATCTTGCTGGGGAGTGGGGTTGGGAAGCAGAGTCCCTGGGACACTTAAGCCTGCATGCTGCTGCCACCCTGTGCCGTCAGTCCGCACCGTCCCTGTCCAAATGGAGAAAAGCTCCACTGGGACTGCACAGCCTCCCACCTAACAGCTGCAGATAAAAGTTTGCAAAGAATATGCTGGAGTTACTGAGAGGGGAAACTCAGGAGAAGCTGCCCCATGGCTGCCAAGGTGATCACTGGGTCCCGTCTAGCTTATGTGCCTTGCAGGAATGGAAGAGACTTGAGGGAGCTCTGCAGCAACAGCATCTACGTAATCCACTGCCGGCCCTTTAATCCCCATGCAAAGCAGCAATAGCAGCAGATTTAGGGAAGTGGAGTGGGATAAAATCACCCAGGATTACTCTGATTTCTGAAGACAGGCCTCAGCTCGTCCAATCAGAGATCAGAACAAGCTTCCTCCGAGCCTGTTTTAAAGGGACAGCATCACCTCTTCTAAAAAAAGTCTCCTGACCTTTGATCCCTACTGAACAGCACTTGCTCCTCACTTGTAAAGGATGCATGTAAATTGCCCTGGCATGTTTTCCTCTCTGCCAGGGATCATTTCTCTTGATTTACTTTTATGTCCCACCCTCTCCCTCCATCTTCTAGGAAGTACTAAACATACCAAGCCAAACCCCATTCTTCGTTATTCCTATGCATGTGACCCCAGTTAGTCAAAAGGGTTGCACAAGTGTAAACGAGAGGCGAATTTAGACTGGGTCAGAATCTGATCTCAGTTATACTGTTGGGTTAGTATAAAGGATGACTATTATTACCTATTGTTTGTATTAGGGTTCCACCCTCGAGGTCTCAATCAGAACCCCATTATGCCGGGAACTATCCAACCAAATCTAAGATGCAGTCCCTGGACTAAAGAACTAAATAATATCTAGGCAAAAAATGAACTGAGGGAGGAAAAAGGACAACAAGAAGCAAAAATGGGATCAAGGAAGAACCAGGAAAATACTGGACACTTAATCTGATCTGACATCTGTGAATGTGAAACTATCCAGACAGCTAATTTGTATCTGGAGATTGACTAGTGAGTCCAGAGAGACCTATGGTTGTAGTAGATAGCAAATTACATACTGTTACGAGGGTCACACTTTATATTAATGTTTAATTTATAAATGATTTTAAAGGGTTAATAAAAGACTACTAGATGTTATAACCATGTTACTGACAGGAGTAGTAGATAGCTAAAAGTACATCAGTAAAACATATTAAAAGATCGTTAGAAGCAACCTATTGACCAGCTGGACTGCAGAACAATGGATTAAGCTTTTATTAAAACATCTATTAATATTTATTAACCTGTCATAAACTATTTATAAATGGAACTTGAATATAAAGTGTAACAATTATGAGCATAGCATGTAATGCCACACCAAGCATTTCTCAAATGTATATGCAGGAGGAATCATCTGCAAAACGATAGAGGTAAAGTATCAGATACAGGGCAGGTGTAATATTGTTTGCAGACTTGGTGCCCACACATGTAATGGGATTAGAGAAAAACTAGAGCAAATACAGAGAAGAGAAACAAGGATTAGAGGTTAAAATATGTGGTGAGCAACTGAAAATTTTAACAGGCGAGGATAATTAACCACTGTGATCTTTTACTTAGGGATTTAGTGGATTCTCCATCAATTGACATCTTTAAATGAACAGTAGATGTGTCTGTAAAAGATATGTTATAGCTCAATGTGACGGGTTGTGACTCACCACTGCAGCGCCTCCTGCTGGATGTCCCAGGGATCAGCTCTGCTAGCTAGCGTGCCCTCTTCTGGTGGTGTCTCGCCCACCGTCACCTCTGCTCCTGGACCCATGTCACCCCAAGGACCGTGGCGTCCTCTTCAGGACACAGCCCTCTGGCTGTGTCACACTCAGTTCTCCCCCATTCTGGGGGAACAGCAGTCTACTGCCCAGCCACTTCCTCACTGGCAATTGGGGCAGGGGGGGCACCCAGGCCCGCCCACTACTCTGGGTCCTGGCCCAGGGACCGTGTAGATGGCAGCCACATTCTGCATCCCTTTCAACCTCTCAGTCTTCTTCCCTGGGCCACTTCCCCGCAACCCCAGCCCCTTCTCCACCCTTGTCTCAGGGCCTCAGCATGCCAGCAGTCAGCCAGAAGCTCAGGGTATGTCTACACTACGGGATTAATCCGAATTTAGATAATTCGAATTTGGGAAACAGGTTGTATAAATTCGATTGTGCGCGGCCACACTAAGCACATTAATTCGGTTTTTAACCACATTAATTCGGTGGTGTGCGGCCACACTAACCCTAATTCGAATTAACAAAATCGATTTAGGCGCTACTCCGCTCGTCGAGGTGGAGTACAGAAATCGATTTTAAGTGCCCTTTAATTCGAATTAACTGGCTCTGTAGTGTGGACGGGTGAAGGGTTAATTCGGATTAACGCAGCTAAATCCGAATTAAAGTCGTAGTGTAGACCAGGCCTCACTCTCGCTCCCCTGAACCTGCTTAGCACTACTCTGTCCAAGGTGCTAGCTGCCCTCCGCCTGCAAGGCAGCCAGTCCTCCTCCCTCCCCGAGCTCCAGGGAGTGACTGACCTGCTTTGCCCTGCGGCTCTTCTTATATGGGCCTGCCCGACCCTGATTGACTGTTCCTCGCAGCCCCTCTCCAACTGGCTATTTCCTGCACAGCCTCCCTAGGGTCCTCTACAATTGACTGCCTGTCGCGTAGCCTCTCTAGGGTTCTATTAACCATTTATGGGCTAGTGTGGGGCAGGCGCCCCATCACACTCAACCACAACTTAGGGGCATAATGCGGGAATTACTGGGTGAGGTTTTTTGGCCTGTGTTATGCAGGTCAGACTAAATGGTCAGGATGGTCACGTCTTACATTAACATTTATGAATCTATGAATTTTAGAACAGCCAAATCTCAGGCAGACAAGATCACCTACTATACCTTCAAGGTAACAAATACAATATCCACTATAAATGAAGCAAGGGAATTATTCACAATTTCAGATGGAAGCAGAATGGCTTTATGGATTTGTAGGGAAGGGTTGCAGACCAAGCTGGATGAGCAAGCATCTCAAACAGGTGATTAAGAGAAAACAGAGAGCCTACAAGGAATGGAAGATGGGAAGAATCAGCAAGGTAGTCTATCTCTTGAAGGTCAGAAAAAGTGTAGGGATAAAGTGAGACCTGCCAATAGCCAAGAAGAATTGGACCCTGCAAAGGGAATTAAAACCAATAGTAAAAGGTTCTGTGACGGGTTGGATCACAGAAACCCCCTTGGGAGCTGCCACCCGATGTGCCAAGACTACCCCTGCTTCTGTTTTCCCTGCCAGCTCAGGACTCCAGCACCCCGTCTTGCTGAATTAGACACTCCAGTCCCCTTCAACACAGACCCAGGGTCTGAATCACTTGTCCCAATGCTGCAAGTTTACCCAAAAACAGCTCACAGGAGTGTGCTTGTCTTTAGCACTCAGATGCCCAACTTCCAATGGGGTCTAAACCCAGATAAATCCGTTTTACCCTGCATAAAGCTTATGCAGGGTAAACTCATAAATTGTTCGCCCTCTATAACACTGATAGAGAGATATGCACAGCTGTTTGCTCCCCCAGGTATTAATACATACTCTGAGTAAATTACTAAATAAAAAGTGATTTTATTAAATACAGACAGTAGGATTTAAGTGGTTCAAAGTAGTAACAGACAGAACAAAGTAAGTCACAAGCAAAATAAAATAAAATGCGCAAATCTATGCCTAATCAAACTAAATACAGATAATCTCACCCTCAGAGATGCTTCAGTAAGTTTTTCTCAGACTGGACACCTTCCAGGCCTGGGCACAATTCTTTCCCCTGGTACAGCTTTTGTTCCAGCTTAGGTGTTATCTAGGGGCTTCTCCATGATGGCTCCTCTCCTTCCCTCTTCTGTTCCACCCCTTTATATATCTTTTGCATAAGGCGGGAACCCTTTGTCTCTCTGGGTTTCCACCCCCCCCCCTCACTGGAAAAGCACCAGGTTAAAGATGGATTCCAGTTGAGGTGACATGATCACATGTCACTGCAAGACTTCATTACTCACTTGCCAGCACACACATATACAGGGAGACTCACAGGTAAACAGCCATCTGCAGACAATGGGAGTCGTCAAGATTCCAAACCATCATTAATGGCCCACACTCTACATAATTACAATAGGCCCTCAGAGTTACATTTTATATTTCTAGTTTTAGATACAAGAGTGGTACATTTATACAAATTAGATGATCATACTCAGTAGATTATGCACTTTGTAATGATACCTTACAAGAGACCTTTCGTATGAAGCATATCCCAGTTACATTATATCACTTATTACCATATTTTCTTTAAATCTATCCCAGTTACATTATATTGACTTATTATTATATTTTTATAAAACCATGTAGACTGCACAACGTCACA